CGTAGGACTCCCTTAGGATTCCCGAGGGAATCGTAGGACCCCCTAAGGGATTCCTAGGGAATCCTTAGGGCTCCCCAGGAAAACCTCAGGGATCGCTAAGGAGCCCTAGGAATTTTGAAGGAATCCTTAGGGAAGTCTTAATAATTCCACGGGAATGCTAGGAACCCTTAGGGATCCTCAGGGAATCCTTAGCAATCCTTGGGGAATCTTAGCGATCCATTGAGAATCTGAGGAATCCTTAGGGAATGCTTGCGAATCACAAGGGCATCATTCGGGCTCCCTCGGGATTCCTTGGGAGGGGAATCCCCAAGAATCCATTGGGGATCCTTCGGAATCCCTAGGGCATGTGAAGGATCCCTAGGGCATCCTGAGGAGCCTTTAGGGAAGCTTCAGGGAACCCTAGGGAACTTTTCGGGTGTTTTAAGATTGTGGACCATGATCACGACGACGACTGTTTTGTTGATGATCACCACGGCGACGATGGAAACGATGATGATGATGATGATGATGATGATGATGATGATGATGATGATGATGATGATGATGATGATGATGATGGTGACGATGATGAGGATGAGGATGATGATCGCGATGATGGGCTGATGACGGCCTCACAGGGGGCTCCACCGAGAGCCTCGGGTCCATTTCTGCACAACCGTGACACGTTTCGTGGGCCCACAAGGGGATCCACCGAAGGCTTCGGGGCGATTCCGGCGCACCCATCTCACGTTTCGCGGCCCCAAAAAGGGGGCTCCACCGAATGCCTCGGGCCAATGTCAGCACAACCGAAAAAGGCTCCACCGAGGGCCCTCACACGTTTCGTGGCCCCACACGGGGGCTACACAGAAGGCGTCGAGACGATTACGGCGCACCCCTCACACGTTTCGTGGCCCCACAGGGGGCTCCACCGAGGGCTTCGGGTCCATTTCTCTACAACCATCACACGTTTCGTGACCCCACAAGGGGCTCCACCGACGTTTCAGGGCGATTTCGGAGCACCCCTCAGAGGTTTCGTGGCCCCACGTGGGGCTCCACCGAAGGCTTCGGGCCCATGTCTGCACAATCCAAAAAGGTTCCAATGAGGGCCGAGAGCCGACTTCGGTGCACCGCTCACACGTCTCGTGGCCCCAAAGAGAGCTCCACCGAATGCCTCGGGTCCATGCCTTTGCACCGCTCACGCGTTTCGTGGCCCCACAAGGGGTTTCGAAGAATTCCCTAAGGATTCCTGCGGGAATCTCATGGATTCCCGAAGGATTCCTGAAGGAATCCAAAGGATCCCCGAAAGATTCCTAAGGAATCCTAAGGGTTCCCGAAAGATTCCTAAGGATTCCCAAGGATTCTGAAGGACGCCCAAAGGATACCTAAGAATTCCTTGGGGATTCCCAAGGATTCCCTTGGGATTCCGAAGGATTCCCTTGTGATTCCGAAGGATTCCCTCGGGATTCCGGAGGATTCCTGAGGGATTCCTAGGGGATTCTCCAGTGATTCCTTAGGTATTGCTCAGCGTTTGCCAGGGCCGGGAGAGGCGTTGGCACACCAGGGGGCGCCGCCGCCGTACTGCAATGGCGCACCTGCCGGGGCCGGGAGAGTCGTTGGCACACGAGGCGCGCGAACGTTTGCACCATTTGAAGCGACCCGGGGCCGGGAGACTCGGTGGCACACCGAGAGTGCGAACGTTTTCACCCCGGGCCGGGTGAGAGGGGGCACGCCTCGGTGTGCGTACGACCGTCCCGGCCCCGGCCCAGGGCCGGGACGGTGGTTGCAACGTTGTTGTTGTTGTTGCTGCTGCTGCTGCTGCTGTTGTTGTTGTTGTTGTTGTTGTTGTTGTTGACCTCTCACTTCTGAACAATACTTATTGTTGATCCCCCCCACCGGTGCATAAAGTTCTTCTCGATCAAAGTGTGCCCCTCGACGCTCGCACCCTGTGTTTTGACAGGGGCAGTCTTGATGCTCAAACTGTGCCCCTGGCCCCCGGGTTACAACAACAATGGCTCCCGCCGTGGACTTCCTCACAATTTAGCCAGGACCCTCGCTCCTGCCCGAAACTTCCTCGCATTTTATTCAGGAATCGCGCTCTCGCTTGGGACTTCCTTACAATTTATTCAGGAATCGCTCTCCCAGCGCTCTGGAGTCGCGCCCTCGCTGGAGACTTGCTTGCAAGGTACTGACGAGCAGCGCCCTTGCGTTGGAATTTCCTGCAATTTACTCAAGCGCCGCGCTCCCGACACCCAGGCACCCAGGAGTCGCGCTCACGCTTAGGACTCCCTCACAGATTACCTAGGAATCGGGATCTCCCTGCCCTTCGTGGCCCCGTTGCAACCCCTCGTGACCTCCCCGCTGCCTTTCGTGGCCCCGTTGCAGCCCTTCGTGGCCCCCTCGCTTTGTTTCGTGGCCCCGTTGCAGCCCCTCCTGGCCCCCTCGCTGCCCTTCGTGGCCGGGTTGCAACCCTTCGTGGCCCCGTTGCAGCCCTTCGTGGCCCCCTCGCTCCCCTTCGTGGCCCCGTTGCAGCCCTTCGTGGCCCCCTCGCTGCCCTTCGTGGCCCCCCATAATGCTCTTCGTGGCCCTCGGTCGTTCGCGCCCGTGGTGGCCCCATATGCATGCCCTTCGTGGCCCCGCTGTCGCCCTTCGTGGCCCCCTCGCTGCCCTTCGTGGCCCCCTCGTTGCCCTCAGTGGCCCCGTCCTTGCCCTCCGCGGCCCAGTATACGTATGCCCTTCGTGGCCCCCGCTCGTTCGCGCCCGTTGTGGCCCCATGTGCGTGCCCTTCGTGGCCCCGCTGTCGCCGTTTGTGGCCCCCTCACTGTCCTACGTGGCCCAGTTGCTACCCTCGGTGGCCCCATCGTTGCCTTCTGTGGCCCCGCATTATCTGCCCTTCGTGGCCCCCGCTCGTTCGCGCTCTTCGTGGCTACGCATTCCCTTCGTGTCCCCGCTATCACCCTTCGTGGTCTACTTCGTGTCCTTCGTGGCCCTGCTGTCGTTCTCTCTCGCTCTCGCTTTCGCTCGTCGTCGTCGCCGTCGCCGTCGCCGTCGTCGTCGTCGTCGTCGTCGTCGTGGTCGGTCCCCTGTCCGTCCCTCTTGGGGTCGGGTCGACGGTCCGCGGCCGCCCCGCCGATCAACGCTGCCGCTGGCCAAGCCGACGGTCCGCGGCCGCCCCGCCGCTTGCCGGGGCCCGGCCTGCAGGGAAGAAAAGTAGGCCCCCAGAAAGGTTTCGATCGAAGACGAAGAGGGCGGGTAGCGAGGGTTTGGGGAATACGCGTTATTGGACACTCGAGCAGATAAGGGCGAACAGTCTTAAAATGATTGTTGTTGTTGTTGTAAACCGGGGGCCAAGGGCGCCATTTGGTGACACCTCACTGCCCCTTGTAAAATACAAGGCGCGAGCCCCGTGAACACCACTGTAATTGAAAACATGCAATGGGTACTGGTCAATGGGAACCAACAGCAATTATTCTTTAGACATGAGAGCTCAGAAACAACACCAACAACACCAACAAGAACAGGATCACCACCACCACCAACAACAATGACAACAACAACAACAATCCGCACCGCGGAAGCCCACTTTAGCCACGCAGCCAGGGACAGTGAATGACCGTTCGGCCCCCTCATTCTGGTGTCAGTTCGCCCTCTTGGGGCCCTCTTTTGGGCCGTTTTGGTGCCCTCTTGGGGCGTTTGGAGGTCCCTTTGCATGTTTTACGATATCTTGGCCGTCTTCGAACGCGATTTGGGCATCTCGGTTGCATGGCCCGTTTGAAAGGTTTCTTAGGATGTCTTGCCACCCTTTCCTGGCCCTCTTGGAGGCATCTGGGGGGGAACTTACTCCTCGATGTTCCCGAGTTGGGCGGGGCCCTTTCTGGGATCTGTTGATTCCCCATTCAGTGCTTGCACTGAAGAGGTCCTAGCGGATGTTCCCCAATCAGTGCTTGCACTGAAGGGGTCCTAGCGGATGTTGAACGATTTGGTGAAAATTCCCCGCCGATTTTGGTGGCAAGCTGGGTTCCCAGGTTCCCGGGTTCCCGGTTCCGGGTTCCTGGCTGATTTCGGAGAGCGGCGAGGTTCCCGGGTTCCCGGGTTCCTGGTCGATCTTCTTATGGATCGGTCTCACCATCGATCTCACTACCGACTTCTCGATCGATCTCACCATCGATCTCACAATCGATCTCACTATCAATCTCACAAGCGATCTCACTAGAGATCGCATGAGCGATCTCGCGATCGATCTCACTATCGATCTCATTGAATCGATTTCACTCTCGGTCTCACGATCGACCTTACAATCGTCCTCACTATCGATTCCACTATCGATCTCATTATCGATCTCACAATCGATCTCAAGATCCATAATATCACTTCTGAAATCATCCACTGATTGGGTTTTTTGTCAAGTGTAATTAAAACAATTGGCGAAAATTCCCCGCCGATTTTGGTGGCAGGCTGGGTTCCTGGGTTCCCTGATTCCCGGTTCCTGGTCGATTTCGGAGGGCGGCGAGGTTCCCGGGTTCCTGGGTTCCTGGTCGATCTTCTTATGGATTGGTCTCACCATCGATCTCATTACCGACTTCTCGATCGATCTCACTATCGATCTCACAATCGATCTCACTATCAATCTCACAAGCGATCTCACTAGAGATCGCATGAGCGATCTCGCGATCGATCTCACTATCGATCTCATTGAATCGATTTCACTCTCGGTCTCACAACCCATGGACTGACCGCGTACAATGCACATCGAGAGTGCCACTTTGACTCGTGCACCACAGACAGTGGACATCGAGAGTGCAGCCGCCGCTGTTTCGGCGTCCTCTTCAGGAAGGAACTATTTCGCAATGCACGCCCCCAAGCATTCGGCTTTTTCGCCCCAGATCGCTTCTTGACGGCCCTTGGGCCCGAAAGCGATCCCCTGGAGGCCGAAATCGCAAAGGAATGCCGACAACACGGAACACCGCAACGTCACAGGCTTGGGCTGGGAGCGTCCAGGCCTGCTTTTCCACTGGCACGGGGGCCTCCTCCAGCCCCAGCATGCGCGGGGGCGGTTGCGGCTCCACGGCCTTGCGATGGGGGGATGCAGCGTTACCTGGCCAGGGCAGGGCCAGACGAGGAGAATGAGAGAGGACGGGGGATGATGATGATGATGATGATGATGATGATGATGATGATGATGATGATGATGATGATGATGATGATGATGATGATGATGATGATGATGATGATGATGATGATGATGCTGCTGCTGCTGCTGCTGATGATGATGCTGATGCTGATGCTGATGCTGATGCTGCTGCTGATGATGATGATGCTGATGATGATGATCATGAAAATGATGATGATACGGATGATGATGCTGATGATGACGACGAGGAGGAAGAATGAGGAGGAGGACCAGCGTGAACCAAAGACGCATTAACGATGTTGCAATAAACCTTCCATCGACGAGGTTGCAATGAACACTTCATCCAAATCCCCTCTTCATGTCACTATTCGAAAACTCCGTGGAGGACAACTGTCAAATAATCCTCAACCCGGCCGAAAAAAACTCTGATTGGACGTGAACGCCACGAATACACTTACTGTTGCGTCCTGACGACCTTGAACCGCACAAAAAAACGCAATCCGGGGACCTCAACGCCGCGAATCGGCGTGACTAATGCGCCCCGACTTACCTAAACCGTGCCTGGACACCATTCCTGGGACGCCAGCCCTAAGAATCCGTGGAAACTTTGTAGAAATGTCACACGGATGTGCGCAGCGCTACGGCGAGAAAGCCACCCGCCCTCCATCCGTGAAGCCCTTGCGCACTTTTTGAAAGCGTTTCGGTGCGGCGCCAAGGCGCGGTGCTGGCGAGAGCCACGGGTACAGTCGGCCTTGATTGGACAGGACACGCGAGAGGACACAAGACCCTTCCGAGAGGGCCACATCGCCATGGGAGTGTAAGAAGGCACGTGTCGCGAGGCACAGGACACAAGGGTAGCCTTGAGCTGGCAGGGTCGACCTCCTAATCCGGGCCGACTGCAGGGTGTCAGATGTGGCGCGAGCGAGCGCGCCTAGCTCGACTTCCTCCCCCTCCCCCCCTTGCCCCGTACCTCCCCCGTATCCCCCCCCCCCCCCGCCCCTGAACTTTCTCCCCCTCCCACGGAGCCCAGAGAGCGCCAGACGAGGCTCGAGGTGCGCCGGGGGGCCCCGCCGGCCCACGGGCGAGGCCCCCCCGCCCGGACGTCTCTGGAGGCCTCCTGGAGGTCCCCCGGAGGTCCCCGGAAGTCTTCCGTGGCGCCCAGCGGCCCAGAGGGAGAGCGTGGAAGAGGGGCGGAGGAGGGGTGAGGCGAGGGGGACTGGGCGAAGGGCGGGGGGGTCGGGGGGCGGGGAGGGTGGGTGGGGGGGGGGGGCGGGGGGTCAACAGGAGGTTACCCCCAGTCCCTCCTTCTCCCTCCTCCTCCTCCTCCTCCTCCTCCTCCTCCTCTCCTCCTCCTCCTCCTCCTCCTCCTCCTCCTTCCTCCTTTCTCCTCCTTCGCATCGCTCGTCCGGCTACTTTCCCCTCTTCGTCCAAACTCCCCGTCCCCCGCCCCCATCTCTCTCCCGTTCCTTCCCCCCTTCCTCCTCCCCCCCCTCCTCCCTCATCACCCCGGCGCGCTGGCAATGCCCAAGCCTGCGACCGGCGGGACGCCACGCAGGAACCCATCCTGACGGCTTTGCGTACAGCCAGCTTGCAGGGCCGTGGTCGCCGGCCGCTTCCGAGCTGGCATCAATCGCGGAAGCTTGAAGCCACAACGCTATGGCCACGTGCCCTGTGTCCCTCCCCTCTCTCGCCCCATCTTGCGCATCTGCCCCCCCAGAGATCCGATGTCGCGATTTTTTCAATACGCGGTCCCCGGAAGCCTCGACCCACTCCCCAGGACCGGTTTTTCATCCTGCGTCGTTTTTTGACGGTCCCGAGGCCCGGCGAGGGCCCCTAGGGGCAGAAATCCGCGAAAAACCTCCGTCTTGATCTTTTCAATACGTTGGATCTCTGGGCCCGCTGCTTGCTGCTGCTTCAGCTGCTGCCTCTCCGACGCGGCCCTCGACCACCCCCCGGGGCCCAGCCGCCGCTCGGGGCGCCCGCCGAGCGCCCGAGAGCGGGCCGCGGGAGACTGCGCCGTCGGATCGCTGGCGGCTGGCGCGGGCTGGCCCGGAGTCGGGTCGGGCGAAAGGGGGGGATAGCCAAGGGGGGGTTTGAGAGTCAGCCCTCGTAGCCGATTTTCTCCCGGCGCCTCCCGGCGCCGAGAGGCGGCCATGTATCGAGGAATGGGCCCGGCGGCGGGGCAGAAACACCAGCTGCACGCAGCAGATTTCGTACCCCCCCCCTCTCCCAATCCCCCCCTTTCGCCCGGCCCGACAGAGCTCCTTCCCCGGGCTGGCTTCGAGCGTCCTGGGCGAAGCGCGGGCTGGGTCGGCGAGGGCGACCGCGGCGACCGCGCCGCGGCGGCGAGCGCGTGGTGCGCGCACGGCGCCTGGGCGCGGCTCCTGGGCTGCAGCGGGAGGTCAGGAGCGAGAAAGAGACAACCACAACCGCGGGGCTGAGGGAACCACCCCTGGCGCCCCCCAAAGGCCGACCCCGACCCCCCAGTCGGCGTTTCCTGCACCTCGTCGTCGTCGTCCTCGTCGTCGTCGTCGTCGTCGTCGTCGTCCTCGTCGTCGTCGTCGTCGTCGTCGTCGTCGTCGTCGTCGTCGTCGTCGTCGTCGTCGTCGTCGTCGTCGTCGTCGTCGTCGTCGTCGTCGTCGTCGTCGTCGTCGTCGTCGTGGTCGTCGGCGGTCGGCGGTCGGCGGTCGGCGGGCGGCATCAGAGGGGCGGGAAAGTGTGCGGGCCCTCCCCTCTGAGGCTGCCGTGCAGCGCAAGGGAGCCAGGTTCCAGGGCCTTCCCCTCTCCCTCCCCCTCCGTACCTCCTCTCCCCTTCCCCCCCCCCCTCCCCCTTCCCCTCCCTCCCCCTCCCCCCCCCCCCCTCTCCCTTCCTCCTCCCCTCCCCTCCCCCCTCCCCCCCTCTTCCCCTCTTCCCCTCCCCCTCCCCCCCCTCCTCTCCCCTCCCCCTCCCTCCTCCGCGCCTGCCCTCCCTCCTGCGCCCCCTCTCCTCTCCCCTCCTCTCCCCCTCCCCGTCCCTCCCCCTCGGGACGTTCCACTCCCCGTGCCTGTGTTCGGCCTCGCGCGCGTGCTCTTTTGCTTGCTCTTGCCCCGCGAGGCGATCCAGGCTGCTCCCTTGGGGGCCCCCGCCGAAGCGAGGCGCGCGGCCGAGGGACGCCGAGCTCCGGGAGGGCAACGGGCCCCAGAGAGCCCAGAGCCTTCCCCCCCCCCCCCCCCCGGGACCCCCCTCCCCCCTCGATGCTGCCGTGGGCTCCGAGGGAGCCGGGCCCTGGAGCCCAGGGCCCCCCCTTCGCCCCCCGGGGACCCCCCCCCTTCGCCCTCTGATGAAGGGGCCCAGGGACACACAAAGAAATACACACGAATAAGAAGATTCTCAATCTTTTCCCAAATTTTCTGGGTTTTTGTCTTCCCCCCACTTCCCATATTTTCCTACATTTTCAGGGGAATCGACGATTAGTTGTGTCTGTGTGTTTTTTCCCCCTCCTGATCTGATGCGGTTGTGAAGCGCAAGTTTGGACGCCCGAAATGGGCACGGAAGCAGTGGGCACAATGCCCAACAACAAATGCTGTCCGGCACCAACAGCGGCCGCTGTTGGGCAGGCGGCCTTCTGTCAATCCGCGGCGACGCCGACAGCGAATCCGGTTCAAAATGAACATGAACTGCCGTCGGTCTTTGTGCCCAGTCTTTCCGTACCCATGCCGGTCGTCCCGAGGCAAATGTTCCCGAGGGAGACGGGTCCTGGATCCCAGCCTCCCCCCCACGGGACGGGCGCTTCGTTCCGAGCCGCCTTCCAGAAAGACGGCTCAGCGTGTTGGGAGGATAGGGTTTTGAGGAGATGCGGGGCGCGACTGTGTAGTTAGCACGCCCGACAGACGCGATAATAAGCTGATCTGGTCACCTCTCCCGACCTCATCCTCCCAACCAGATAGTTGTCTTTCTGAGCCTTCTGATTGCCCCTGGCCTGAGGAAGGCCCCGAGAGGCCGAACAGAACGGCGAAGCAACCAAACCGGACCCCGCGGCGCCCTCTCTCAGGACGCAGGTCCCCGGCGGAGGCCTCCGGATGCCGACTCTGCATGGCAGGTTTGCCCCCGAATAGCTACCTCCGCAGGCCTCGAGGCCGAGGCCTTGGGGCCTCACGGAGGCCCGAGAAGGGCCACGGACACCACGCAGAACCTCGATCCTCGAAGCGCCGAGCTTCGCTCTCCTCGTGGCGATGCTCTTGGAATCCCGACAACGGTGCGGTGACGAACCGTGCGGTGACCTCGCAGTCCCCCGAGACCTCACCGCACGGTCCCTCACCGCACGGCTTTGGGACCCTGGAGGCCCCCGTCGCCCGAGACGTCCTCGGAGAGGGGCCCGAGTCCCAAAACCGCGCGGTGACCCCGAATCCCCACCGACCCACCGCACGGCGTGGTCGCCGCACCGTCTGGGGGTCCCCCGAGAAGTGGGGCAGCACTGCGCCTCACCTGGAACCTCGAGATCTGTGGAATCTCCTCCTCCTCCTCCTCCTCGTCCTCCTCCTCCTCCTCCTCCTCCTCGTCCTCCTCCTCCTCCTCGTCCTCCTCCTCCTCCTCGTCCCCCCCTCCTCCTCCTGTCCTCGAAACGCCGATCCTTCGCTTTTTCCGCGCGGCGGCGCTGCCCGGGTGCCTCGCGCGGGCGCTCTCGTGGCCGAGGGGCGCCGGGCGGAGCGCCCGAGGCGGGCCTGCGGGCCCACCGGGAGGAGAGGAGGAGAAGGGAGGATGCGCAGGAGGAGGGGCCGGAGGAGGAGGTGGGGGGGGAGGGGGGGGGAGCACGAGGAGGAGGGGAGAGGAGGGGACGGGGGGGGAGAGCAAGCCAGGAGCGCTCGCGCCTCATCTGACATCCGATCCCTTCTCCATCCCATCCCTTCCCATTGCGCTGTTTTTTCTCCGTCCGCGTGACATAGCCGACCTTCAACTTCAAGAGACACCGCATGGTGTTATGCGCAATCGTAAAAGGGAAGCTGCGTGCACACGATAAGGAAGTGGCGCGTGACGCGAGCCGGAGGATGAGCGGGAGGATAAAGACGAGGACGAACAGCAACCGCAGCAGCAATAACTGGAGTAGAAGGAGCGGGAGGAACAGGAGGACCAAGGGGAAGGCGGCGGAGGAAGGGAAATGAGGGGGGCGACACCGTCGAACAAAGTCTCGGATCCAGAAACGTGGCCCGCGCTGGGGCGAGAGAGCCATTCTGCACGACGGGGGCAAAACACCGATCCGAAAGTGAGGGTCACGATGCAGCGAGAGTACCGTTTCCCAGCACCGGAAACGATAGGATGGTAGACTAAGCCATGGGAGCAAAAACAAGTCCTGGAATCCTGTGTGGGAAAACAGCACGCGGAGAGAGCCAATCATCTTCCAGACGGGGTTAGGGGAGAGAAGAAAGTAACGTTCATATATTTTAGTTGTGAAGCGGGGGAGAATGGGGAGAAGGAGCCTGACGACGACGACGAAGACGACGACGATGCCCTCTCGAGTCCCCCTCGTATCTCGGCCCAACGTGGCCTGCGATCTCTTGTCCTCCTGTCTGGGGTGTCAGCGGAGTGACGTCATACGCCATCCCTGGTGGGCTGCAAACTGCGAAAGTGTCGCCACCTTCGAGGGCTGCTGGGGAGCCAGCGGAGTGACGTCTCACTGTGCTCCTTCCTTGGAAGGCTGCGAATGCGACACTGTCGCCACTTTCGAAGGCTGCCGGAGGGGGGCCAGTTTGGCGAGGTGCTGTGCAAATCAGAGCGGGATCTCGCCGTCTCTGGGAGGCTCCGGACTGCCAAACGGTGGACACATTCGTGGGCTCAGTGGGTGGCCAGCTTCGTGCGTTGCTACGCAGATCAGAACGGCATTCCTCGGGGGCCTCACGTCTCGTTCTGTGGCTGTCCTGTGGGTCGTGCAACGCGCGCGCATGTTGTGCGGCTTGCGCATCAACTGACGGTTCCTGCGTGTACGCAAATGCGCGAACAGAAGTTAGAAACTCTTCTTCTCACTTGATGCCACTGGGTGGGGTGAATCGCAGGGTGCTTGTACAGACGCGCCCCTCCTCCTCTTCTTCCTCCTTCTTCTCCTCATCCATCCACTTTCCTTTTAAAAAGGCTCATCCTGCGGGCTGGGCGTTTCGCCTGAGACTTCCTGATCAATGATGACCCTGAAGCTTGAACGTTGCTGCAACTACGCGGATGGGTGGGGGGTCATTTTCAACCTGAGCGCCGCGCCTATCCCCTTGAACAGTTCGCAACAGTTGCAACGGTGGAGGGGCCGTGGCTTCCATCATGGGGCCCTCGCCCTGGCGCTGCGCAGGCACGGGGTCAATGCAAAATCAGACCGGCTGTAACAAGGGTGCACAACAGCACCAAACAAGCACAGGATCGACGGAGCATCGCAATCCGAAAAGATTGGGCCGGCCAGAATCGACATAACATAGGATCGACCGGATCGAGATGGGCCCGCGCGGCCTGGGCTCCGCGACCCCTCCCCCTCCTCCTCCTCCTCCTCCTCCGCTACCTCCTCCTCCCCTTCCTCCTTATCGTCCTCGTCCTCGTCCTCGTCCTCATG